CTCTCTCCTTCTTTCTTTTAGTACAAGAGCCATGCCCCTGCCTGCCAGACCCCTTGTTTCAGCAGGGCACAGGCCACCCAGTTTGAGACCACATTTCCCAGCTTCCTTTGCAGTCAGGTGTGCCTAAGTGACTAAGTTCCAGTGGGATTTAAGTGGAAATGAATGTCGCTTCTTTTAAGGAAATTGCTTGTTTTCCTCTTCCTTTCCCTTCCCCTTCCTTCTGACAGAACAAGCGCCTGGGTCACTGGGAAGCCTCTGGAGCAGAGTCACATCCCAAGTCCAGGCTGTTCCATGAGAGAGAAGTTCATCTCTTAATCTTATATTTTGGAGTCTCTTTAAGTTAGCCCGTTCCCTAATTAACACAGGAGTGGTTATATCTTATCCAATTGTTTTGTCTTTATAATGCTAACCAAACCAAAAATCATAATCAAAGTCATAATGGAAAGATAAAGAAATTTGATTATATAAAAATTGTGTAGGTTAGCAAATACCACAAGCCAAATCAAATGCCAAATGACTAAATTGGAAAACAATATTTGCAACACATGAAAGACTAACGGCTAATATCACATGCATTTTTTTTAATCTATCAGGCACTGTGCTGAGGGCTTTATGAGGGCTGTCCTGGTTAATACTGACTACAGCCCTGTGTAGCAGTGTTTTACAGCACAGTGATTAATTGTGGGCTGCAAATTCACCACTGACTTGCTGTGTGGCTTTGGGGAAATGACCTAAAATAGGGATAACAGTATCTTCATCCTAGGATTGTTTATGAAAATTAAATAAGACAGAGTTACTGTGAACAATTGTGTGCCCTGGATAAGGGCAAACAACTAAGGCAATAAGTAGTGGTGAAAGCCAGTGCCTGCTCTCCAAGCCACATGCCCTAGTACAGGGTAAGGCCTGCCTGAGGAAGGGGAGCCTTTTCTAATTTTTACAAGGACACCTTGTGGACTAGTGGCCCTGAAATGAGATAACTACTTAGCGAAGTGCCTGCAGTTTTCAATATGAATTAACAATTATTATTACCATTAGCATCGTTGTTCTCATTCTCCAGATGAGAAAACCGAGGCTTAAAAGAAGCTAAGCAATTTGTCTATCATGGGGTTAATGCAAAGATTCTTAAAAATAAATAACAAAAAGTTAAACGATCCAATAAAAGTGTACGAAGGACATTGTTTACAAAAAAAGAACATACATTTGAAAAACTACACAAAATTTCTCATAATTAAAGAAGTGAAAGTTAAAACAATAAATGAGAAAATTTTCATCTATCAGATTAGTAAACTTTGGTTATGTTGTCTTGATGAGGGATTCAAGGAAACAGTCTTTCGCGCTGTCGATGGGCCTATGTATTGGCTTGAGGCTTCTTTCTACTCAGAGTTTCAGAAGTAATCATTGAATCCCAAATGTAATGATGCCTTAAATACTCAGGGGTTCTGATCTAGGGAACCCACAGTATGACTAATCAGCTGATTCAGGACTTGCGGCCTTTGGCTAGTCAGTGGCTTGTCACTGCAAATAAGTTTTCTCTGAAGTTTTAATGTTTATTTTAATTTTAGTTACTAAGAAAATTTAGTGTGTCAGTGCTTATGAATAAAAAAAGAGTGCTTCATTTTATACCATGTATTACATTTATCTTGGCTATTGGGCAATAAGATGCAAACTTTTCAAATAATTGCCTTTAAGCAACAATAACAAAAATGTTAAGATGAGTATTTAAAATCATTCTATACTAACTCATTCACTTTCTTTCCCTCTTAACAGTGAGTACACAACATGATTTAATTTTACTGGTGACTCAGGGTCATCATTATTGAATATCAATTACTCCGCCATCTCAGAACTCAGCACCATAACTCCAAGCCTAAATAACTTAAGGGGACTATTCAATAAATGATGTTAGGACATCCTGGTGGTCTTCTGGAAAAGTAAAGTTGAATTTTTATCTCAATTGAATTAAGATCATAGACATATCTTGACCTGTCAACTCCTACATCTGAAGAAGAGAACTGATTTTTGAACTTCCATTCATAGCAAACCATGACAAGCAATGCACTGGAAAAAGTATAGAGGGTGCTAGGGCCACGGGTGGTTCAACAGGGGAATGAGCCCCTTTCTCTCAGGCTGGCGAGCCAAGACTACATGTTGCTGTGTACACAGGGCATGTCTTGGCCCACAGAAGATAGAAAAATTCCAGGAGGCAGTTAAGATTGTCCATTATGTTAACTTAGGTCACAGAATTCTCAATCTTTTCAAAGTTGAGAAGTGTTGGGCAGTGACTACTGCTTCATACCGAAGCTCCACACCTGTCTTTTCAAGATAGGAGAAGAATTAAGTCTTTCTAGAAGAAAACTTCTATCTTCATGGACATCATATGCATGATTGGGTGAGGATTTGAAAATTAGCATATCTTATAGATAAGTCTCGCTCATTTAAAAGCCTAATTAACGCTTAAAAGACAAGCTTATTTCAGTATTCCCAAGATAAAATGACCTTGAAGACTGTAGGCCCGTGGCCCGGGTCCCCTGGGTTCTGGAGTCCCTTAGTCCCCTGGGTCACATAGAGTGGTAAACTCCTCCCTGTCTGAAACTATGTGGGAGCAGGGATTCACGGTTTATTCTGTTGGCTTAGAGTCTGGGACAGGGTCTATTGTTCTCAATAGCTATTCCTTGAATTCATAAGTGAACCTGTTTATAAACTCAAGTGAAATATTTGCTGGAAATATTTTGAAGGGCATGAAAAAGAACACTTGACAGGATTGATAAAAGGATTTTATAAGCATTATCCAGTGACAGTAGTCAGGGAACACGAAATCCTTTCTCTAATCCTTTTTGAATATTATCCTAGATTGTATCTTCACGAATTTACAACAGATCCTAAGAATGATCTCAGATGGCTTCTTGAACAGCACCTTTTTGAATAACAGCTAAACCTATCAAATGGGACAATTAAATTCATTTTTCCATTCAATGTAGACACATGTAAACTGAAATTCTTTGTGTGCGTTAAAAAAAAAGTTCAAAAACCAGAATTTGTCTTCCTAATGTAGAACTTTGTCTTAATCTTACTTTAAAATAAGCATAATCAAGCCAAACATCGCTCTTATTAAAACAATCATAAGTAGTGCTGATCTTCTTATCTAGGAATTTAGTTTCAAGTTTGGATCTTTGTTAAAGAAATTAAATTTACTGTTACTTATATGATGTTATTTGTTTTTAGTTTTAAAATTTTTAATTTAAAATTATTTTCCAGCAATATTAATGATCCATTTAAATTGCTTACCTTCTAGTTATGACAAGTGAGGTAGTGACTATATATATTTAATTTACAGTAGTGCTATGTAATTTCCTTTCTAAAGAGTGAAATTTAATTTTAAAAGTTAAATCAATTAAAAGAAAAATATTAAGTAATGATTAACATAAGTGATACAGAGAATCATGAAGAGAATATCAGAATGACTGGATTTGGGGAAACACTGAGCTTTAAAGAGAGTGTAAATCGAGCATAGAGTGGAGACAAGCTAGTTAACAAGGTGAGCTTCCTCTCCTAGGATCATGTATGGAGTTTGGACTTTATCTTAAGCAGTGGGAGCCACTAAAGAGTTGACAGCAGATGTGGGTCATGACTGGATTTGCCCTTTTACAAAATCATTATGAGAGTGGTGTATAGGATTGGAAGGTGACAAGAGGAGGCAGGGAAGTCGATTAAGAGCCAACTTCAGTAACCCAGGAGAGAGATGATGGTGGCTTAAACCTCAGTGTTGCAAGTAAGATAGATAAAGTAAAGACCTATTGTGGCATGACATGGTCACTGAGGTCGAAGAACCTCTGATTTAGACAGATGGGTGGATGGGATGGGGCCCTTCACAGAGATCTGGAATACAGAAGGAGAAGTGGATAGTAAGAGAATTATGATGAGCTGCTTAGACATGTTGTATATGAGGTGACTTTAGGAAAATGAAGAAAAGTCCAGTAGGAGTTGATTACTGGGCCAGGAGTTCATGTGAGTGGTTTGGATTAAAGTCACCAGCATTTTCTTTTGAAAGGGAAAAAACCCCACCTGTATCAATTTGCTAGGGATGCCAAACAAAGTACTACAGACTGAGTGGCTTTTATTTACTCACAGTTCGGGAGCAAGTCCGAGATCGAGATGTTGGCAAGTCTTGTTTCCTCTGAGGACCTCTCTCCGTGGCTTGTAGATGGCCATCTTCCAGTATCCTCACATGGTCTTCCCTTTGTGAGTACACCTCTGTCCGAGTCTCCTCTTCCTATAGAGACACAAGTTATATTGGATTAGGGCCCACCCTAATAATCTAATTGTACCTTAATGAACTCTCTAAAGACCCTATCTCCAAATAGATAGAGTCACATTCTGAGGAATATCAACATACTATTTTGGGGGGGTGGTGGGTGGGGGGTGGGAGGTCATGATTCAGCTTATAACAAACACCATCCTAATTTATTAAATCAAAAAGGAAATGTGTTGGTTAATGAAACCAGGAAGTTCAAAGGGGTTTTATAGGAGGCTTTTGGATGAAGGGATTCAAATCAGCTTTACATGGTGTCACTTGGATTCTTAAGCAGGCTCTCTCATGGCATCAAACACAGCTATTTCAGGACTACAGCTTCTGTGCAGGAACCAATCCTCTGAAGAAAGGAACTTTTCCCTGATAATCCTAGCAGAAGTCTCCAGGAAGATCTTAAATGACCTATCTTAAGTCACATACCTCAAATAACCCACTGGTGTAGAGAAAGCAACACAGGCAAGGGCCAAGTCTGAGTCTCCAGCCTGTCCCTGCCCAGTGACCAACCTCATGTAAACCTCAAGAATTGGGAATAGTGGAAGAGTGTTTCTTTACAGCATTGTTAAACAAGCAACGACAACTATAATAAACCATGGCTGCTACAGGAGTAGATGCGGTGACCCATGAAGAATGTGTAGAAGGAAATATAAGAGGGCCAAGGTCAGGAACCTGAGGGAAACAACTACAACAAACGATGGCTGCTACCATTCTTAAAGCCACAGGAGTAGATGTGGTGACCCATGAAGAATGTGTAGAAAGAAATATAAGAGGGCCAAGGTCAGGAACCTGAGGGGAAACACACTATTCAGAGGATGAGATGAGAAATAGACGTCCTTGAGGAAGATGTACAAGAGAAAGGAAAACAGCCAGGACAGCATGTATCACAAATGCCAAGAGAAGAGACGGTTTTAACAAAGACACCATGATTTGTAACAACTTGGAGAAAAAAGGGTAATATGCTTAATTGCAAAGATCTCAGACATATCAATTTAAAAACAAGATCTACAAATAGAAAAATGGGCAGAAAATCAGAACAGGCAGTTTGCAAAAAAGAAATTAAAATGACATATGACAAGGTATTTCAATTCATTCATAATGAAAAACAAATTGAAACATTCTTGCAGTATCCTTTAGTGCTTTTAAGATTGGCAAAAATAAAAAGACTTGAAGAAATCCAGTGTTAGCGAAGGTGAAGGGAAATAGACAATCATGGTGAAACCACTGTGGCCCGAACAGGGCGCCTCGGGCAGAGTATTTTTTCAGAATCAAACATTTAAAGCTACACGCTCATCGATCTAGCAAATCCCGGCCATGAATTTACTATCACAAGTAAAATTAAGCCACATTTTTAAACACGGAAATAATCCAAAGATGCGTCAAAAATAGGTTAAATTCAAAATATTGCCCAACAAGTATGTAGGGGCACCAACAAATTAGAACAGATACTGGCTATAAACCACTCAACACAGCTATACAGGTGGGTCCCTACTGAATATCCCATGAAAGGGAACACCAGGGGGATAAAATGAGGTAGACATATAGACGTTTGGGCTGTTTTGGAAAGTTCTCCAAAATATATTAATGAAACTGTAAGGTGCAGAGCCATGTGAATAACGTGGATTCCATTTCTGTACGTTTTAAAATGTGTACAGCTGTGTGGGTAAGTACCACAAACCATTTCCTAAAGGAAAGCATAAGTAACTGAGAGCAAGTGGCTGCCTTTGGTGAGAGGGACTGTGTAAAGACGGGCTGGGAGATTGTAGGGTAAGACTTTTAGTTTCCATTTTATACTTTTCAGCTCTTCAATCTATTCAACTGACCAATAATAATTGAGCATGCATTAATGTCAAGCACCAGACTAGGCACTGGGGAAGAAATGGAAGAAGCAGCACTGAAACACTAGCAGGGGCTCCACAGCCAGACAGCTGTGAGTCGAAGTTGCAGGCTTAGAAGTTGGAAGACCACAGTTAATTTATTTAGCCTCTCTGTCAGCTCCTTCGTTTGTAAGATGTGGACTAACAGTTCTTATCTGATAGGATTGCTGTGAGAAGTAAATGAGATAATGCATGTAAGGTGCTTAGCACAGTGCTGCGCATTTAGTACCTGTTCCTTAATTGTTCATGCTAAAAAAGAAAAGCGAGATCACCATCCTGGTAGAACACCCAGTAGAGTGAGCGCGCTGACCTAGAGAGGAATTGGTTACTGGAAACGAAAGGCCAGGTTGTTGGATGAGCCATCCAGGCAGATGCCGGCACCACCCAGTGGGGTTTGAGGGCCTTCTTGCCCTGAGGAGGGAGGAATGGGGCCAAATGCAGCCTTCACTTGAGATGGCCTCAGGATATCAGGAGAGGATGGGAGGGGCCAGGATGCAGTCAGGGCAGGGAAGCTCTGCAAAGCAAACCCTTCAGGAGAGCTGAAGATAGTCTAGAAGCCTGGTCTGGAGCAGAAGGAAAAGTCTGAGAAGTTAGCTGTGGAAGCTCAAGAATGGGACCAATCAGCTAGAACCAGAGTCCAGAAAGCATTCCAGAGAATTAGGGAGGAGAGAGTGAGGCAACCAGAGAGTTGGGAGGTCACATATCGACTTTGCTCAAAGAAATTCGTGGAGCACCACTATCTTGGCAGGTTATTTTTCCTCTTATTTTTCTGGATTAAGTACATGGAACGTCTGCGGCGTCCGCAGGTGCTTTAGGCTTCTAGAATTCTAAAAAGTATTTATCCTTTTTGCTACACTTCCTATGCCTAACATTTGCAGTAGGAAGAGAGGCATGAACTTTGGAGGCCAACTGGCACGTGGTTGGTGACCCCTGGGCCATGCCTCTGCTTCTGAGCCTCCCTGGCTTTGCTTTTTGCCCCACTCTGTGTTTGTAGCTCACCCGCATCTTCCCTCCCAGGCAACTGAGTGAGGTGACTGGCAGGGCAATTTGGCAGCATCGACATAAAGGGCTTACAGGGGAAAGTATTCTTGGACCAGGAGACAAATCCCAAATTAGTGGAAAGCTTGCTCTCCCGGGGAGAAAAGAGCTGCCTCAGTTTCCCATCAACAGTTACACTCCGAGCCCTAAAATACTCGTTAAAGAAACAAATGAACAGTCCTTCTGTTTCAATCTTCAAGTCATAGCCTTTGAGATATAGACAGGACGGGACAAAAGCTCTTCAATTTGCCCCTTATAATCCTATCAGATAATGACTCTACTAGCTCTAAAAAGAGAACCAATCGAGTGGTCAGAAATTGGAAAAAAATTACAGCAGGTAAGAAATGAAGCAGTGGGTCCAACTCTGGTCATCTCAACATCTTTTCTTAAATATTACATCCTCTCCTCACCAAAACAATAAATGCATGAATTAATTTTATATAGTTGGCCTATGTGGTAGAGTTATTCTCACCTCATTATTCCAGACTGTATTCTCCAATTATGAGTCGAGTTTTCTTGCATTCTTTTCTCATCTCCTCTAGTTCCTTTTTCATCTCTACTCGCACCAGAATTCATTGACTTTTTATCTCACTCTTCTTGTTTCATAAAAGCCAAACTTCCTTACATCTTTTGAAAACAAAAAAGCAAATATTTTCTAAAATGTTCTTTCCATTACTTCAGTAAATTATTTTCAGAGTTGGGCTCTTTCTCCACATCTAAGTAATGCTTCTATTCTTTTTTACTACCAAAATTTTTCCCAGGTCTTATTTGTGTGTGTGTGTGTTTACACATCCTTGAATGGACTTATTTATATTCCAATGTAGCATTTATAGTCATTCATTAATCCAACAGATACTAATTTTTAAAAAAAAATGATATTTGTTTATCCTTTAGTTGGCAAAGTGTTTAAAAAACTGAATTACCTATAAGGATTTGTTTCAAAGAGCCTCTGATTTATAGGAAGAGGTAAGACAGGTATGATAACAACAGAGCAAGGTGGAAAAGCCAGATAGGAGACCTGAGCAGATTTCACGATTCCCACCTGTGGCTTTTCTCACAGATGATACAAGGTAAACCATGATGCCAAGATAGGAAGGACTGATTCCTTGCACAGCTCAATGTTGTTCTAAGTTGGCAGTCATTAGAAATTAAGAGCACTGAGACTATTTCCCATTTATATTACCTTTCCTTCCTCTAAAGATATGTAAAAATACTAGCAAACACTAATGTACCAATGTTTCTATGCTACAAAATAGTAAGTGTAATAAATATTACATTCTGTTACAGTACTTGTTAAAAATGACTACATTCCATTACAAATTACTGTTGTTGCTCAGCCAATTCAAAGAAGCAACACGGATGTTACCAAATGTTAGTGGAAAATAAAAGATATTTTCTTTGGGTTGACTAATTTCCCAAAATGTGTTTTTTCTAGTGATGAAAACATGGAACAGTCTATCTTTATTTTACACTGGCATAGAACATTAACCAATTTCTTGATTATATCATTTTGTGGAAAGGCAATTTGACAAAACTTTATCGTGGGGAACTTGTTTTTTAAATTTGTTTAATCTTTTTAAAAATAATGATTTTAAAAGACATTATTACAATTTTGATATTAAAAAGCTCAAGCCATGACCAATAATAGTTTTACACCTATCCTAATTAAGATGTGAGTGAAAATAGAAAAGTGTAACACCCAAACCCCTAGAGGGTGTGTCCGCCTCACAGATTCCTACCCCTACGGATGCTGTAACAGAGGCAAAGAGCCGCTAGGTGGCTCTGTCATTTTTAAATAAAACTAAAGTCCACAAAAGATAATGTGTAGTTAAGGAACAAAATAGGCAGAACCTTTAATCAAGGCAAGAAACAATAATCTGCAATTATGGACTCTCACTCAGAATAATTTGGAGTTTTGAGTTGAGAATTAGACTTAAAAAAAAAAACCAACCCTGCAAAACTGCAAAGTATATGTGGGTGAGCAATTTGCAAAAAATAAGAGAATGCATTGTATTCTTAACGACATCAATTACTAAAGGGAAGATGATTTCAAATTTTTCCTAATTTATTGCCATCTAGGTTCCCAGCTTTTCTTTTGGACTTTCTCTATGTAGTTTAGACTTTTAAGTTAAAGGAAAAAAAATATTAAACTCAGGCATTATAACTCATTAAAAATTACTTTCCAGTGTCCTGGGTTATAATTGTCATCTTTATTAACATCCCAAAACAAAACAAAACGTTTTGGCCTATTTGGGGAAGAAGAAGAAAAAACACTGTACTTATCTAAATTAAGAAACATTTAGTTCTTTAAATCAAAATACAAGTAAGGTGAACACTATTCCATTCTACAGCATTTGCCAGGAGAGCGAAAGAAATGATGTTCTTTAGAGTTGACAAATTCCTTTCTGATTCCAGAAAGGATGAAAAAAATAGTTATATTTGAAGTTTGGGTTTAAGTACCAATTTGTAGTTAAATATCTCTGGATTTCATTTTTTAAAAAAAGTTATATAACGGAAGACAATAATTTTTCCCAAAGTACATAACTAACTTGATGACGAAAATAAATGAAGCGTTGAGGGGATGTTCCAAATTATTAAATACTCTTAACTGTCAGTCTGCAATTGGCAAATAGTTAGAAAAGACTTTCCCCCCACCCCTCCCTTAAATGAGAATCTCAGACTTGTCACTTACTAAGAACATATTCAGGAATAGTTTTAACTTGTAAAAGAAACAGTTTTCTTATTGTTTTTCGGAGCCAACAAATAACGACTGCGTGGCAGGTCGCATCGCAACAGGATTTTACTGGTTTTGTTTGTTTTCGCAGGCAAGAACCGCATTTGGAAACTTTCAGAAGTAGTCTGTAAAATTACTTTTTTTAACAAAAATTTGTCGTGGCCGTTTTTGTAAACGAGCGCTTCTCACACACTTTAAATTAAACTTGGCTTTAAAGTGATTTCGAACCCTTTTATTCAAATGCCTTTGAAAAAGTTCACCCTTCTGTTTTTTTTCTATTTTCGAAGACAACAAATCACACAGAAAGAGTGCACGGACCAGACATAAAATGAACAAATACTTCCTGAATGTGAACGAACAAATAGCTATATGTTTAGGGAAATTAAAAGCCGATTTCAGTCCCTCCGATCACAGAATTCCCTAGTAGGGGACTCATCAAAGATGCCTGTTAATATTGTCTGCCGCTTAACCCAGAGAGTTGTAAATCACGTCTACTATGCTCGACTGGGAGCAGATCAATTGAGACCGGGCGTAAATTCTGCAACTCGATCGATCACAAAGGTGTAGAAAACCCAAAGGCGCCCAGGCAGGTGGCCTGAGCAACCATCCAAAGTTAACTCTAGGACTTCTTGGAAACATCTATACTCTTTGTTATCATCCCTTTGTTTTAATAGTCGTTATTGCATTTCATTATTGTGCCAAGAATACGTTAGCCAGGAAGGGGTACTTTTCGCCCTAAACCCGGAGGTGCCGGGCTCCCCGGGCTCCCCGGGCTCCCGGGGCTCCCCGGGCCGGCCAGGAGGGG